GGAAACAGATTTGGAAAGGGATGCAACAGACGTGGCTTAAAAAGCCATGGCCTCAGCTATTGTCTTGAGAAGGCACTCCTGGTTGTGCATGACTGCTCTTCCTTTAGAAGCACACCGTAGAGTCAAGAACCTCCCTTTCAAGGGATCTAGCCTCTTCTCCCAGACAACAGACAAATTCCTCTCTACTATCAAGAAAAATTGTCAAACTGTGAAGTCGCTTAGTGCCTTCTCTCCTTCTTCTGACCAAAGGCTACACTTCCTCCCCCCCAGACAGCACAGTTTTGCAGCACCCTTCTATTAGAGCCAGAGGCATCCAAAACAGCAAATGCTATACCAGTATCCTCAGTCTCAGTACCAGCCACCTTCCTTCCAGAGGAGGAAGAGTACGCCAAGGCCCAGACCTATGGGTCAGCCTCTTCCTCCTAGAGAGTACAGTCAGCAAGCACAAAAGTTCTGACTAGCCATTCAGATGCCTGAGGCTCCCGTGTTTGGGAATAAGTTGGCACTTTTTTAATGAGGCATGGTGTTCTATTTGTTCCAATGTCTGGGTTCTTTCAATAGTTTGTGATGGTTATTTCCTGGAATATGTATCTCTCCCCCCGTTCCGCCCCACATCAGCAGCACTGTTTTCAAGCGGTAGGGTACCCCTCAGGTAGACCTGTTTGCCATGTCTGATACAAGAAGGGCACCACAGTTTTGCTTCCTTATGGCCAGCAATCCAACTTTGCTGGGGGATGCTTTTCAGATCCTGTGGTTGAGGACTTTGTTTTAGATCTTCCCTCCCTTTCCCATCCTGAGCAAATTCATACGGAAATTGATAGTAGAGGTTCAGACTGCATCCTAATAGCCCCCTTTTAGCCACACCAAATTTGGTTCTCCAGACTCCTCTATTAGGTAGTGTCAGAATACATCACTTTCCCACTGGCCCTGGATTAGTTTGTGCGGGGACCTATCCTGCAGCACGATGTGGCCCTCCTGCATCTTACAGTGTGGAGGATATGCCCATAGGGTCTCCCTTCTCCCATGAAGTGTGTGACATCCTAATTCAAGCTAGGAAGTCCTCTACTAGGTATTTCTACTTGAGGAAGCCTGGGCCCGATCTAAACTGTTGTCACCGTTTACATGCCCCATATCTGCTTTCCCTATCATCTAAAGGGCTAGCTGCATCCTCCATTAAGGTGACCTTGGTGTCATTTCTGCTTATCATAAGGGTGTGGAGGGGTCTTCCCTGTTTGCCCATAAGCCATCACAGTGTTTCCTCAAGAGTCTGCTTAATGTGTTTTCCCCCACACCTCACATTGTCCCTCAGTGGTCCCTCTCCCTGGTTTTAGCCCAATTAATGAAGCAGCCCTTGTCTTTGTGCCCTCTGGCCTTGCTGTCTAGGAAAATAGCCTTCCTTGTAGTTGTTATGTCGGCCAGGAGAGGTGTCTTCTAATAAATAAGCCCTGAGGGTAGACCCTCCATTCTTAAAAGTTTTTAATGAAAGGGCATTACTTCTCCCTACTTTGAGCTTTCTTCCAAAGGTGGTTTCTAAGTTTCACCTGGCACAGGAGATAGTGCGGCCCATATTTTTTCCATCTCCAGAGTCTAGGGCCAAGAAAGCTCTTCACACGCTGGATGCCAAGAGAGCTTTGTTATACTACATTTGGCAAGTCTTCAAGGGAAGGTAATTTCAATGTTGCACCGCATCTATCAAGAATAGGAATGGGCACGAACTGAACCGCAAAGCAAAATTTGTCACAAATTTTGCCTTTTTGTGGTTTGTAAACCAAAGTTCATGACTGGTCTACTGTCATGAAGTTCCAGAAAACTTTTAAAGCAGTTTGTGGCAGTTCATGGTGGTTCATGGACAGAGCAGAAAGCAAGGTTTTAAAGGGACTCCAAGTCCCTTTAAAACCTTGCTTTCAGATCCCCGCAAAAGCCACAAAAACAGCTGAGTGGCAGGGAGTTTGGTTTAGAAATGAACCTCCTGGTTCAGTTCGTGGTTCAGTTTGTGGCTCAGCCACGAACCACAAACCACGTTTTTCCGGTTCGTGCCCATCCCTAATCAAAAGTACCTTTCTGCATACCATTGTGACCTTGACGGCACAGGGATAGTATATTAAAGAAGGTGTGCTTAATATGTTGTGCTGAAACATAGAAGTGGTTGCTATGGAGTATGGAAGCTTTTTCTTATTTAATTAAATGAAGATGCATGGAAAGCTTAAGTAGGAGCCTTAACTGGATTCCAGCTTTGCCAGTGTTGTCCCCATTAAAGAAGCAGAAACTTACATATCTGAGGTGTCTTCTAATAAATAAGTAATTCATCTGACATTGCATAGATCTCCAGTCACAAATGGTGCACAGATAAATGAGGGAAATGATTCATTTTAGGAGAAAAATAGATATTAATAATCACTTTAATTTCTCTTCCCTCAGATGGTCTGAATCAGTTTGGCCTGACCACCAACATCCGTTTCAGAGGATGCATTCGATCCTTGACCCTCAGGAAAGGGACTGCTAAGGCTCTAGAAATTAACTTCAGCAAAGCCTTGGAGATCAAGGGAGTTCAACCTCTATCATGCCCTGCAAATTAACAGCACATCATCCATCTCAGATATGGATCTAACCAGTTAAAAAGGAGGAAATAAAACACCCTCACCTGATGTTTAAAGAAGTCTATATTTACCATATCTTCATAATAAAAGTTCCTTGTGCAAAATTTTGATTTCAGCCTGTGACATATTCAGAATTGTGCTGTTTTAAGTGTGGGTTTATAAACTTTTCCCCATTGGAGTGAATAACATTTTTCTCATTCTTAGTCTTTTCCATCAGCTTGAAGTGATTTAGCATATTTTTGATGAATGGAATCATACAGGCCTAAATCTATGCTTGTCAAAGTGTAAAACAGTCTTCTTCCAAGGCAGTTATTCAGTTAGTATGTTTGTCGATCAAGACCAGCAGCTGTGTGTACAGCGGATCCCACGTGCTGGTTGACAGTGATGGATCATACTGGGGTACCATGGCACTGTTAATTTAATTAATTACATTTAACTGGTTTTCCCTTCCAAAGCTCCTTACCCACCCACCCCCGGAAGACATGCTCTGTCTGCTGGCCCACTGGTGCCAGTTGACCGAAGCACTGTGCCAGGCTGTGGGGCTCCTGCAGCAGCTGGCACTGACCTTGCCAGGCAAGGAGCAGGAAGGCCAGCTCTGCCCATGCATGCGGCCACAGCAGCCCCAAGGTGGCCATGCCCAATGCCAGCACCCTGCTGGCTGACACGGCTTGCTGACGCTACAGGAAGGATGGCACTGGCTGTGACTGCTGGAGCTGGGTGAAGGCGGACCTGGGAAGGCACCACCGCTGGCCCCACCTCTGCCAGCCAGAGGAGGAGAGGGAGAGAAAGAGGAGAGGGCTCTCTCGGCCCTGCACATTCCTTGCACCTGCAGTAGCTGGAGAGGCATAGCACGGCTCCCGGCTCCTTCCTTCCTGGCTCCGCTGTGCTGTGGTCCATGAGGGGTGCTGCAGATTTGATAGGGGGTATCAACCCCCAGCGTCCCCTCCCCCTGCTGGCTAAGTGCCTGCTCCATTAGTGAATGAAGTTTCTTCTAAAAACAAACAAAAAATTGTGGGGTCCTTTAGAAAAACAGTGTTGTCTAACTTCTAAATCTTCGTGATTTTCAAGTGCTCTGCCAGAGTTTCATATGCTCTGCTTGGTTTAATATATGGATTCCATAATGTGAAAAAGTCAACATTTTCTTTGCATGTGTGCTGGGAGGAGGGGGAGAAGGAAAGAAGATGGTAATGTTTACTGCCTAACCAGTTTGTACAATGTTATTACAAGAACATATTGGACTGAAATCCTAATATATCATTTGAACAAGCATTACAATATTATGTGATTCTTTTTTTTAAATATGGATGTCCCCACCATAGATGTTCTCACTGGTAAGAACATGGGGAAAAACAGTATTTTCACACTTTCCATATGTGACTTTTTTTTCCAAGCCAGACTAATCTGGGTTAAAAATAAATGACATTAGGAAAGGTAGCAAAATATAAATGGAGCAATTAGCATGACAACCTATGTTATCACAAGTATTAAAAATAGCATATGTCCACACAGACATCTTTTGAATGGATTGCTTTGTTTTTAGAAGATAGCTAGGAAGGATTCTTTGTGGCAGTTTTGGAACACTACTGTTCTGTAAGCCAGGAAAATACAGATGGAGACATTTGGCAAGAAGTTAGCTACCTGTGTTCCCATATTAATACTGCAGCTTTCAAGTATAGGAGATGTCTAAGAGATAGATAAGTATTTTATCAACAAGATACCTGCATAGCAAGCTGATCAACACTTCTCATGCAATTGCCCCTGTTAGCCTTGTGGCTCAGTACAGTCTGCCATTGCCTGAACCTCACTGCACACCTGAAGCACTGAAGGAGTACAGCATGCACAGACAGTAACATTTATTTCAGAAAAGCAGTGAATAAATATACCAAGTGAAACCAGAAGTCTTTTATCTTGAGTAACAAATGCCAAAGATTAGTCATGTTAGTGAGTTATAGCAGAAACAACAGAGCAACAGGGGCAACATAAATTCTCACAAGGTACAGGGTGCGTAATCTGCCAACTGAGGATAACACCATGGACAGTAAGTGTGCTCTACTCCACAAAACCTTCTACCACAATAAATCTAGAAATCCTTAAGATGCCAGGAGGCTCTTTATTGTTTATCTTGAGTCTGAATGTGAACACATTTTATCATGACAACTTTCCTAACAGTATAGAAAAGAATTAAAAAGGGCAAACAGACAATGATGCAATACTGGCCAAGATTGCTGTTAGCATCTTCTGCATGCAGATTCAGGGACAGAGGTAGTGAACAACAACACAACCAACCACTGGTTATCTTGAACATTAAAACTGATATATCACATTATCAGATCATGTAAACAATGTCCCGTAGAACTCAAGGAAAAAATGAAACTGCATTTTCCTCTCTAAATACTGCCTTTCTCTGTGCAGAGTAATGTTTTACTGATGACCAATGGTATATACATGCATGTCTTCGAGCTAGGGTAAACAGATTGGAGATGTATCACAGTACAACTTATGTAGTGTTACATCATTAGCATGTGTGAATGGCAATGGCTGACATGCACCCATTCTAGAATTACTAAAATGTCATCATGGGCCAAGGAAATTTGTCAGTGAGTCAGATGAACTTGCAAGAGGATTGGAACGGTAAGGAAATTGCAGAGTGCAACCTGGCTCTCTTCATCAAAGGATACACCACATCACTTGCCAGTTCAGGAGTGTAAGTTGCGGTGCGCTTGTAGTGCCCATTTAAGCCAAATTTCTATCTTTCGGAAAGCATACAACGATACCTTTCAATGGTAAGTGTTTCAACTACCAGACAGTCACATGTTAGAAAGCTTCTGTACAATTATGCTGCAGAGGTACACAGAAGCTTTTGAAATGTTCAGTATAATTTTAGGTTGACATTTTCCCTTGCAGTACTTTTGAACCAACATAATCATTGCTGAAGACCTCACTGTGTTTTTTTGTTGAACACAAAGCCATGTTTTTCTTTTCATGTCAAAGAGTACTTTTCGAACAAAACCTTTGTATAAAACAACAACTTCAGCCCTTTGCTCCTTTATCTTTCCAAATATTAGGGCTACATTCCAAACAGGTGTGCTTTGAACGAACAGCATAAACACAGGCAAACAGTGCTCCTGTGTTCATGAACTGTCTAGTTCTCTATATTACAGGAAAATAACAAAGCCTGGACAGTTTGCTTGGTTAAAACATTTTTCTTTCTTTTAAGTTTTACATGTAAGAGGTTGGATTTAGGGGTGAGGTCTTGGGCATCTGTTGTTGGGTTTATCACCTATGAAAGGGAAGGGAGATTAAAAGTTAGTAATGAATCTTTTCCGCTCTCATTTGGCTTGAAATAGTTGAATTTTTGTGGCTTGAAAGAAGCCTAGCATCATAAATGTCATCCACTCTTCTCCCAAAGGACTCCTTTTCATATAAACTTGCATAGACCTACGTACTGGAACAGGGCGTCTGTACTAAACAGCCGATGATATTGTATTTATCATGACAGGTTTGTTACCAAATAAGTACCCTTAGGTTATTCTACTTCCACATTGAATATAGTATCTGTTACTACAGTCTGAACAGTAGAAGGCATAGCATCCTTTTAAAATGACTTTCCAGAAAATAAAAGTGATGTAATTTCCTCAACAACAAAAAAAAACTTAGAGGGGGAGGGGGATCCAACAGAGAATTCTGTGTGGTCTTTGCGTACTGTCAGTATGATCCAGCTCAGGGCCTTGATATGTTCAGAAGCAATCATCTGTGTGTTCATCTTCAGGTGGAGAATCACATAATCCAATCACTCCTGCATCATTGTTCCCTTTTCTGCATAAACAAGGGGGAAACCCACAAAGACTTGTGGGGGGAGGGTCTCATTTCCTATTTCCCTTCCCTGAAAGCCCCCATAGCCTTTCTCTTTTTCCTGCCACCTCCTCTCTTTCCCACCCACCAGCCAACGTACCTTTATCTGGGAATAACCTCAAGACTGCAAATAAGTGGCATAATTTTATGTTTTGTTAATACTGTAGAATTACTCCTTTGAAAACACTACACAAGCGACACTAAAATTAGATTTCCCTTCTTGCCTTGCCAGCTATTTTACATCTGTTTCGATAAGACAGTCTGAACACAAATTAAATTGACCAGTTCGGTGTGTCTTGTCTTAATTAAGACCATCTCGCTAATAACAAAACCAGATACCGGGTCTCGAGTGGTCTTACTTTTTCTGTGTTTCAAATTAATTTTACTGAATAATACACTGCCTTCCTTTTATTCTCCATTTAATATAGCAGTCCTTGTTTCTGGGTGTCATTGCTAATGAGTACAGTGGAAACTAGCCTAGCCCTTGGCCTTCCAAAGCCGTGATTTAGGTTATGATAGGTGTGAACAGGAAAGTGGGTGATATTCACATCTAGTGTATACATGTCTTTTGACTACACACAACAACATCTATAATGTACATATTGTTCATCAGATCCAGTAAGCCTAAGAGTTTACTTGGTCCAGAAGAAATATGTGCTTGCCAGAAGATGCATGGAGTTCCCTTTCCCCATTACCTTAATGTTTGACTGACTCAGTGCATCAGTTCATTGGAAATTTTGACCAGACAGATGAAAATGACTTATATTGATCAGACTACTGCTCCCACTAACCCAGCTCCGAATAGTTGTTTCTTCAGATTTGTCCCACAGCAGTCATCTTCCTTGGACTAGCAGTGCTTGTCTTTCTTCCAGCCACTGCTGGCATGGCAGGAGGCAATGAGTGTAGATAACAATGGGGGGCGCCCCTGCAGATGAAATATTGGGATGTAAAATCCACCATTAATCATTCTGATTCTACTTTCAACATGATTTTTTTAATCCAAAAGCAAAACAGAGAATGTGAACCAGTACTGGTTATACAGGGAATACCAGCATCCAGCCAGGAGGAGCCAAGCAGAGTTTGGGGAGCAAGAAGCAAGTTGGGAAGTTGAGTAGTTTGTCCGATTTCAGTATCACATCCAGGAAGGGGAGAGAAGAGATGGATCAGTGTGTGGGAGGACTGCAGCTAAAGGAGAGGGTGAACATTTGCCATGTTGTCCCTGGCCCCTCCCCTTTACTAGTCTGCTGTAACAGTTAAAATGTCATTTGTGAAATGAAGAGGCCTCCGTTCAAATGCTCACTCAGCCATGAAGTTTACTGACAGACCTTAAGCCAGTTCTGCGTTATCCTGACCTAAGGGGGAAGGGAGTGGGTATGGCAATAAAAAGGGAAGGAGAATGCCTTGGGAGGGCATTCAGAATTTTAGGCAGTACTTCCTCCACATGTGCCATGGCTTCTTCCAGCCTTCAACACCTAATCACTGATAGAGGTTTCTCATGTCAACGAATACTGTACTATTGTCATTTCCAGGCAGGAAAGTCCAGAAGGTGAACAATTACAATAGTGCACTGTTCAATTACTTGTAGTCATTGTTATGGTACCTCTGCAGTCCCACATGGGTACTGTACCCCTGCAGGCCCACCATGGAGAGATTTTTGAAACTCAAAAAATTCCTGAGGGCATTGTGCCCCTCTCCCCTTTGCTTGTTTCTGACCATTTGCAGCCTGATATAGAAAGGACAGAGTACCCTTCACTCTGCTGCTGCTAAGAGATGCTCATTAGCAGAAGTTGCATCTTTTTCAACTGGCAAAAAACCTGCGAACAATTTCTACCTCACGCTTCTGCCTCTTCAAAAAAAAAAAAAACCTGTGGGTCCTGTGGGTTAAAAATCCCCCACATAGACAACTGTGAAAAAATGCGTCCTTTGCCGTAGTGATGAGCATGACATCTGGCACTGCTCTGTTTGTCACCAATTTACCCTCAAAGCTTCCCAATTTAAACTGGCACTCTGGGAAAAGGCTTTGTCTGGCACAGGTCAGCAGAAAGATCCAAGCAAAACACCGCCCTCTAATGCCAACAGATGGATTTGAGCATCTTCAGTTCCAACTGTTCCAAGGCCAGTTCTGACTGCCTTGGTCTCCTGTGTGCTCTGTATGCTCTGCTCCTGTATCCCTGGATTGTAGATCCTCAGAACCACCAACTTAAAAGTCTAGGTATAAACACAAGCTCATGGAGAAGCCTTCCAAGTCAGTCGTCATCCACCCTCTCTCTAAATACCTGGCTCTTTGCAAGCCACCACTGGAACCAGTCAAGAATTCCTTGCAGAGGTCCACACCCTCCTCGACAACAACAAAAGCAACAAAAAGCAATTAAGACAGTGCCTACAAAAGATCAGCACTACTCCAAATATT